AACTTGCTTTGTAATCATTCATTCAACTGAAGATGACAGAAGCTCTGTCGAAACATGTCTTGCAAACTTAAAAAATTGGTCGTTTTCCTTAAAATTTTTACATGTCTGCTGCTATCTAGACCTTTTAAATCCAAGTAAGTATTAAATTAAGGGCACTGATTATATAAGCTCATGGCAGCGCAGCTCTTTACTGCGAATTAGCAATTTGGGAATCTCGATATGCTCCAATTGACGTAACACCTAACTTTATACGAGATTTGATATGATATTATGAAAATACGGATGGCTGAAAGGCGAATTTAAAGCAGAATAAGATAAGATCTGAGGTCATCATTATATACTTACAAGCTGTAGAACCACTGAAGATGGTCTTGCTTAGTCGTCTTCAAGAAATGTTCATTGTTAGCTCATGAACTAATGACCGGATGTTGGAAAAACTGAACATGTTGCGAGGGATTATGGGAATGATCACTTTAGTGGAGAATAAAAATAATGATTCAGTGATGCATTCATTAGTAAATTCCGCTGAGTAGGTGTTGTATTATAAGGCCTCCATTCTCTCAATTTCAACTTATTATTTATTATGGAGAATGATCGACCTACATATCGTGGTTGTCGACCACTGCACCGTGTACGGGAATGTTTCAAACACTTAAATTTCCCGGGGGGTGGGGACTCCTACATAAAAGGACGAGGGTACTCGTCGGAAATTTTGAAAAGAACCCCTAAGAGGTACTAAGATCCTATTTTTGGGTGCGGCTTGAAATTTTTTTCAGAACCGCCTTAAATTTTCGAAACTTTAAGGTGGCTCTGAACCCACTTCACAGAATTTTTTAAACTTTGCAAAAAGTTGGATCCTGTCATGCTTATTACAATCGATAATAACAACTGGGGGTCACCGAGCTCGTTTTTGAGTTACAAGAGCTTATATTCATCCGACGCATCAGTGGTATCACTTATTTGTCCCTTTATATCCCAAAAGAATCTTAACATGTCAAATTCATAAGCATCTATGGAAAACTCTAACCAATGTTTAGCACCACATGCTTCCTTCCTGAGGAGAAATAATGCTGTCAAGTCGAGTTCTTCCAACCACCCTCTCTTCGACTGGAATAGAAATACTTCCGCTTAATATACCAAGATCACTGGCTTTGTCCTTACATTCCTCAAGGACAGTTTACCGCTTGGGAATAACGATAGTCAAACAGCCCGAGAGCAATGTGAAAATGAATACATTATCAAGCACGAAGCTTGCAATTGAAGTAACGCTTGCAATAAAACTTTGGGTAGCCACACTACGCCGGAGAAATGTTTGAAAACGTAGCTCATGTTATTTCTACGGTTAGGCCTACCGTCCACACTAATCCGTCACGAAACGGAGCTTTTCGAAAACGCTCTTCAAACCGGACGAATTTGAAACCGCTGGCTTTGCGTTTTAGTGTGGACGGAAAACGTTTTGAAAACGGAAAACGATGGCGCCACGAGAATCATGTGACTGTTCCCTGACCGAGTTTCCTTCAAACACGAAACCAAAATGACCGGTGTTGCGTTTTAAAATTTCTCTGGCGTAGTGTGGACGGAGTCTGAACTCAGTTCAATCATTCATAATGTAGGATGCCTAAAGTCAAAGAAATTACTTACTTCCTCCCTTAAAAATCAATTTGCCCTTTGCACGATCCGGTCATATGGTACAAAATCACACATGCTGGGACGCATGTGGCACAGAGGGACTTCCAAAACAAAGCAACTCAAACAAGTCCACCTTGACCTGCCTTTGTTTTGGAAGTCCCACTGTGCAACTTGCGTCCCAACATGTGTGATTTTGTACCATGTGACCGGACCGTGCAAAGGGCCTATTATTAAAATAGGTTCTGGTAAACATGAATTGAGATTTGAGGAGCGTTTGGTACATGGCATTTTAAAGGTGTAAGTTGTAAGGGGCACCGATGGACGCACACGTTTCTCGTACGTCTTCGCGTTTTTCTCCCTGTATCTAATTTATTCCTATATCTAAAAATGCCGTTTGCTAGTTTGCATTGGAAGACGTTACAGCCCTTGAAGAGGTGGGTGATTTTCAGGAAAAGGGATGGGACGTAAGTGGAAATGACGCAATTCAGGAAAATAAGTGTTTAAAAATAGAAATATCCAATGTGTTTCTCTATTTCACTCTTCGTATAACTGTCATCCCATTCTCTAAAATTCTTCCTTATGTCACCAACCATCTCCTGGGATAACCGTCCCTGCTTCCGCGGGGAAGAATAACCAAACATTCTGTTGTGTATACTCTCTGGTTGACTACAACAAGCGTATAATTTTCTGTACATTTTATTAACAAAGATTTCGGATATGAAGAATAGAAAACTACTATCTATAATATTTCTTGTGGCATATTCCTGTGAACAATTGACTATCAACGTGGCCTTCGATATAAAAAAATAATCATAGGCCTCCATTTGCCTTTTATTACACAATGGTCTGCGCCCGCTGACCATACAATAATACAAGATAAAATCCTCCGTGGGAAAAATAGATGGCGACTGGTACATTTACCCATAGTTCTTAGCGAGCGAAAGCCTTAACAACGTTCATAAAAACGCACAGAAGAGTTACAAAATCTTCAAACCTAGCATACACAACTTCCTTCGTACAGGAACAAATATTGTAAAAATTTGGCTTTCTTTGTACCTTGCAGGCTGTGTTAGGTTCGCAAGGTATTGTGGTAAAATGTACAGCCGCCATCTTTTTTCCTACGGTGGATTGAAAAGACGTCTTTTGGTTGTTTTAGATCGATATGGTGATACCTCAATATCTTCAACAATCGAAACCTGTGAACGCGTTATTTCAACGCCAATATTCTGGTACAATATTACAACTTTAAAAAGTTCCTATTCACAAGTTAAAAAAAGCCATATTCGCAGAGCCTAATATCTGAGTTACGTTAGTAAAATCTGAAATAATACATTACTATGTCTTCGTTATAGCTTTTCCTAATTAACTTCCTATTTATTTTCTGGGAAAACTTTTGGTACTTTTGTTACAAGAGACAATTGTATTGCGTATTGTACTATTGTACTATCCCTCGTATTCACTTAACATTTACCTTATGTACAGCACGCTTAATGATCGACCTGTCTTCCAAAGACTACGGAAACATTGTCGAAAGCACAAATCTGTAAGAAACTCTATATGGTTTGCTAGGATATCATTCTTCTGGTGAAGTCACGATGAAGGACCTTCAGTCAAATGTCCGGTCCATTTATTAGGGGCTAGAATGCAGTGTTTGTGTAAAGTCAAGGGCACGACGAAGTGTCGCCTTGGGGGTACCGGGTGAGTATTTCCTAAAGTGTATATCAAGCAGGTCATGTTTGTTTTCCTTCTGAAGGCGGTATGTCCTGCGTGTCGGTATTGAGCGCTTCTCGCTGAGCTGCCGGTGAATTTTCGGTCGATTTTGGAGCGTAAGGTTTAGGCATCGGTGGAGGTAATCTACTTGCAGACTGTGAAGGTCTCGGCGGCTTTGGCGGAGGAGACTTGGGGCTGTTATCCGCCGGAAAATAAAGAGATTTTCGGGGCATGACCGGAGGTGGAGTGACGTCTTGCCCTAAACCATGAGCATTCAACCAGCCATCGGGCGTGTCCGAAGGAGATCGAGATACAGTGGGTCGATTTGACGAGCTTAACGTGTTTCTACGAGGAGCGGGGACTGGGGTTCGAGGTTTCGCTGATTCGTCACGTGACCCAACCTTCGTTAATGACGTCATTGTGGATGTCGTTTCAGAATATGACCAACCTTCAACTTTTTGAACGAATGTTGAAGCGTCATCGTGCCCTTTCGACGGAATTAGCGGCGGAGTCGAGTCATTCTTCGTGGGCGAGGTTTCTGCGAAAAAATCTACATTCTGCGGGGTTGACGACGATGGCTCCATCCCCGTGTTAAAACCTCGCTTCGGGGGACTCCCAGGGGACATAAAATCGCTGTCAAACGAAGACGCCGAAAAATAATTTGTGCTTTCCGACACCCAGCTAGCTACAGACGCACTGGGCGACGAAACATCATCATACGGCACTCGTGGATAAGTAGGTGTTGAAGGCGGTGTTACGTAACTATACCCATTTGCCCCGCTGGAGTTATACCCGTCCGATGTAAGGACCCCCTGTCGGGGAGTTGTCGGGGATATCGTTGACACTGAAGAACCTGACGGCACTGAAAACCCACGAGGATCCCGCGAGAAGAATTTTTGTGTCGAATTACCGAGAGAGTTTGACGGGGAAAAGGGTGACAGAGGACACGTGGGATCTGGGACTGAGTCAGAGAACACTGACGATGCACGGCTGGATGCAGTGCTAGCGTAGCTTTTTCGTTTCTCTGGCAACAGAGGCACAGGTGCAGAATTGCAGTCATCATCAGGAGATATCAGTGTCACTGGGCGCTAGAGGAAGACAGAAAACCGCTACATCATTAATATCCAAATACCTAGTATACAAATAGCATATTTATCATCTGTTTAGTTAGGGCTTCCCTCGCAATTAACCACGATGTTTACACTCATAAGACTTAAGATTATCTTACTTACCAAGGAATCCTCCAATATATTATTTCACTACAGTCGTAGGAGACACGGTGATTTAAAGGTTTCTGCGCTGAACTCCAGATCGACAGGTCTGGGTTCGAACGCTGGGTAGAGTAATTGTGTTTTCTTTATTTTTGTTCTTCCACGTAGGAGGAAAAAAAAATTACAAGTAAATAATGCTACCGACTTAGGGCACAGAACAATCAAACATGAGAGACATACTACAGTTGTAATAGCGTGTGCAGCCGTATGGTCAGCTATCACTTATTCGCAAAAAGAGAAAAAAAAAAATAATAATTAAAAGAAACAAGAATGCGCATTTGTGATATACCGTCATGGCGCTGACCGAAATTTACGTTTTCTCTTACCTTTGGTTTTTCTGGAACCGGAGGGCCGTTGACTTCAGCAGACATCCGAGAAACAGATTTCTTGGGAGGTAGCGCGGGGAGATTGTCTTCGCTAGCAGGAGGGGGGATGACCTTAGAATCGTGTCCAGTCTCTGCTCCGTTTAATGTAGGATTGGAGACCACCATGCTTTTGCGCTTGGGAGGGAGAGCAGGGGACATTTCTCCACTGAAACAGATGAAGAAGGAAATAGTAAATGAGCAAGCAACACCATTAATTTTGTTTACAGTATCATACTATCAAGACGAGAAAACTGTCTTGATAAAAGAAAAAACAACAACAACTTCTTGGCGCTAAAACCACAAATTTACATTAAAATCAGTTGAGAGGATTATCATTTCAATATCGGGGACTAAAAGAGCGCTTTTTCAGCTTCTTTGTTTTTGTTACACTACACAAAAGCGTGATAAGGAATTCAGAATTTAACGCTCCTGTGATAGACACGGCATTGCTATAGATTTGGAATTATCGTTTCTGTGAATGGTGCGCCTCAAATACACAATCGTGTTCATCGTTCGCTTCCATCGTCACGCAGCCAAATTCCGTTGCGTGACAATCCACCCCACATTTTCGAAGGAGGCCTGGGGCCTGTTTCTCGAACGCCCCGGAAACATTTCGGGCCCGCAAAGCCATTTCTTAGTTAATTTGTATCTTAAAACAGAAAGGTGTATACGCCTGAAACTTCTTGTATGAAGGAACTTCTGGTCATATTAAGAATATGTAAATGAACAGCTCTGTAATCATAAGGTTTGAGAATTTGCTACGGCTTTCCGGGTGCGAAACCTTTTCGGGACCTTCGAGAAACAGGCCCCTAGACCGGGTTGTTCAAACCTCGATTAAGCTAACCTAGGATAAGCGAGAATATTGATTTCAGTTTTGTAACTTTTCGGTGAGGTTTTCTGTTTATATTGTCTGTCCTTCAGTTTTGAACTTGAATAATCCCAAACTACACAAAACAAACAGTAAAAAACACTTTTATACAAGAAAAAAAAATGCTATGGTTAACTTTTAATCCTCGGTTAGCGTTAACCGGCTTTCGAACGACCCGGCACCGAAGTTTTATCGATCCGAGTTAAATACATGTCGCTGGTTCGCTCTTTAAGAAATTCTACTTGTAACGGCTCCACACGAAAATCTCTTGTAGACAAATCAAGCAAGTCATACTTGTCACGAAGAGGCTGCACTGGAGAAGTGACCGTTCTGAGCATGCCCGCTGGTGAGGAACTCCTGTGGTGAAGTTTTCCGCCAATCGTGGTCCTCCGGCGTATTGACTCAGGAGAGATCCCAAATGTGAGATCCGGTTTAGAGCCCTTCTTTGGAACTGGCGGAGCAAGTTCATCTAGTTCTGAAAGAGCTTCCAGGGACTTTGATCCAGAAATCTGCGGACAAAAACACAACAGCAGTGTTGGAATTTTATTGCAGTAACAATTACGGCGATCGGTTCAATTTATGGGAGCTCTTTTAGAAGCGGACAACAAAACAAAACCGTTCAGGTCACCTTTTCGGAAGACCTTAGATAAAGAATCCGAACAGTTTCCGAATCTTATTATCAATTGGAAAAAAAAGCTCGAACACTCTAAATGTTATCTGTTTGCTTAATGTTATCAGCATATGCAACGTTACTGCGAGACATCACTGCCAAGAACCATCAGGAAAGAAAGTCTGTAAGGGAGAGGAAGAAAAACACTGCGGTAACAAAGACAAGATTTATTTCAAAAGATGAGGCATGCAATTAGTACAAGGTTTTTATTCAAGCGCAGCGAAAAGCCAAAAAATAAGGACAGTTGGAGAGATTTACATATTTTCCCTTCTAATGGAGAGCCGAATATGGAAGATAACGCGAGGGCAAAATGTTCTTTAAGTGAAGTGAATCCAGCGAAAGGCAAGCAAGAAAGAAAGTGTTCCATCACCTTCTTGGCTGGTTGGTCATCGCTGTCGTACCACATGCTTCGTGGTGGCGGAAACTCGCTTTGACGCCTCTGTTTTGAATTCGTCACAGGAACACTTCTGGTATAAAACAAATCAGGGAATTAACAGGACTGCTGACACACGGACCTTCAGGTGCAATATCAAATTTATCTACTTACTCTCTGCCAATGTCAGGTAAGCTCTGTTTTCTTAAATCCCTTATGTGCGGAAGTGTCGCGGCATGGTTAGAGGGTATCGGAGGCAAAGGAATCTATGAAAAGTGATAAGCAAAATAATATCGCACTGACGACAAATGAAACTGCAATTTGAATGAGAATCCTGGTGATTTAATTTTATACCAACCTGTAGATCTTTAGGCCTAGATGATTTTCTCTCCTCCCCTGAGACACGAGCTTTCATGTCAGCAAAACACGTCTCCATCTTGTTATGAAACGGACGCAAGTCTTTCGTTGCTAACGCGTCATGGAGTTTAAGTCCCCTCTCCAAAATTTTAACCTACACGAAAAATAGTTCTTAATCACCCAAAAAATATACTAAAGTTCAGATATTAATTCAAAACTTAAAGCATAACTTAATTGGCACACACTGTCAGTGCTTAGCATCTGTTTTGTAAACAAACATCGTGTTATTAGATACGCAATCAAAAAAATAACCTCACCTGATTTTCTATGGCGCGTTTCAACTGGTCAATAAGTAGCTTATCACCTGGATTGCTTTTCAGGTATTCCGCGGCGAAAAACGCCTGCAAAAGCAAGGGGTTGTCAGTTATTATTAACGTTGTACTCGTTATAACGCCGTGAGCCTAACAACCATAGCAGTAGCTTACTAAGTTCTTTCGTCCGAGACCAGACTACAAAAGAAAAATTAGCATTTTACTCTGACGAAGGCAAACAGAACGTTGACGAAAATTTAGCTTACTTTTACATCGTTCTATAGCATTTTTAGGTCAGATTCAACATTTTTCAAAGGTTTCAATTAGCAAAAACTTGGGTGGGTTCATACCTCTTCATACTTTGCTATCCCACCCATGACAGCAGCATCAATGATACCATTGAGTATCATACTCAGTGGGTTAATACTCTGAGTTGTGTCTGAGGACAGATTAGTGATAATCCTATCCAGCTCTTTATTCTTGGACTCCACGGTCTCCACGGCGTTCTGTAAAGGACTGATTTCAATCTGAAAGAAAAACAGCAACGTTTTATTAGAAAGGGAGCAAGAACACACTGTTCCCTTGAAATCACTCCCACGCGACAAGGAACGCAAAAAGTTGTCAAGCGCCGGCGCGTAGCCTTTTGCCTCGGTTTCAAAACGAGTCCTCCAGCGAAACCATTCGCATGAAAATGTGTTTCCCCTACAGGTTCATTTTCATGCAAATCAAACTCACTTTCCTATGAGAGGTTTTGCATGAAGACTCGTCTTGAAATAGAGGCACAAGGTAACTCAGAAATGGCCTTTTTCCACAAAACACATTCATAACACATTCTAAAACACAGTCATGACACGTTACCGCCACATCATCTTCTACTGACATCACGCGTGGTACGAGACTCCACTATCGTTATCACAAAACTTACGCTTTCAGAAGAAGTGACTTGAAACCATCTGAGAATTCCAGGCAAAGGTGAGGCGATTGTATAGGTTGTTCTTTCCAACCACAAGTTCTAAAACAAAAAAAGTAACTAGAATTCAGCACGTTGTCTGTAAGAGTTTGGAAAGTAACTCATAAAAGGCTATTTCAGTGTTAGCTTTAGCCTTTTCCTCAAAGGTTTGGTATAAAATCGTCGATTTGAACACAAGTTTGACAAATAATTGTTTGAGAGACTGATAACAAAGAAATCAGATAACGCAAATGACGCACATCAGATAACGTAAATTTCGCCACATTACCTCTATATCATAAAGCAAATGAAGAAGCCTAAGCCGTGTATTTCACTGTGATAAAACACTCCGGACATTTGAGAACACTAGAGAAATGTAGCAAACACTCGCCTGCGGCTCGTGTCCTCAAATGCCCGTCGTGTTTTATCACAGTGTAATACACGGCTTAGGCTTCTATATTTGTTAAAGAAGGAATGTTTTTACGATCTACAATGAGTGGCATACACTTGTTCCTTACCGCAAAGTCTTCCGATCCCGGGCGCAAAGGCCGTGAGTTAGTGAAGCGTCTGACGTCATTTACACGATAATGACTGAAAATTAAGAAAAAATAACTAAGTCTGTGTGCTCTTTCCTGAATAATGCCACTCCCATTTTAATGTTGTAAGGAGATCGAGCCTGCCTCTGCAAAAACAAATATATAAACAAAGACACAAGAAAACAAAAAATTTCAAATACACATTGATGGAGCCATAAAAAAGTTTTACTGACAAAATTCTGCCTCATCCCTGTAAAAGTCTTGGTGATGTATTTTGTTCTAAAACGAATTGCGACTTAAGTGTTTCTCTTTCTATTTCCTTCATATTAACGAATTAAGCTATTTAATGAGTTAGTTAGCTTAAAGGAGCTCAGTCACGGTTTGCGCAAATTGAAAAGTTTGGCCTCAATTTTTCAAATTCGTTGTTTGTAATCCGTGTTAATCTTCTCCATTCTTAGCCATCCTTGTTCTTTTTTGGTTTATCATTATCTCTTTGGTGTTTTTCTACCTTATTAAACTGTTATTTTCAGCCGGTTTCCTACCATTCAAAGGTAATGTTGTATGTGGCCAAAATAACTCAAAATAACGAGACTGAGCTCCTTTAAGTACAACACAGTTAGTTACAGTACAATCTCAAGTAAGGAGATGATATCAGTTTCCTCTCGTAATAATAAGTAGCACTTACCCTGCAATTTTATCATCAACTGCTTTGCCAGAAAAACGTTCTTCGTGTTCCGAGATGGGAATCACTCGACAACATTGTAGATCTGGAAACAGTCAAGAGAAACTTACGCATGCAGCACTTTAACGAGGTTTTCAGCTGTTTATGGCTGGTTTGCAGTGTCACGCCATCAAAAATAAAAATCGTAACCATTCAATAAATTAAGTCAAGAAGCTGAGATATGAAAGATGACTGATATATAAATAACCACGCTAAGTTTTAGGTCTGTGCGGTTTTCCATCCGCGCGTTATTCGGGAAAGTGTTTCACTCAAATTTATAGAGCTTTGTATGATGTGCCCCTCGGAGGGACACACATATGGTAGCCGTAAACTAACAGAAACATCTGTCATTGAGTTTTGCCATTGAAACGAAACGTTATTACTCTAGAGCTCCGATACATTGAAATGAATACTTCGTCTAGAGCAAGAACTGTTTAGTAAGTACAAACTTGAGCAATAACTCATCTTTTACTTACTCGACAGCCTTATCGAGCAGCCATTTTAATGTCACGCAACCCATAAACTTGGAAATTCCGACGTGCTCCATTACATAATGAGGAACCCTGTCGGGCTTAAACGTTGCAAAACGTCAAGTTATTAGAGGGTCTTACATCTGATGAAACTAAAACTTCACAAGGATTGGTAATTTCTTATTTTGGAAATTGATGACGTCACATGAAAACCGGCAATACAAGATCGCTATTTTGTAAAAGTTCATTCGAGTTGCAGGTCTCGATAAGTGATTGACTCTGCTGTTAAACTACACTGAGAATGTAGAATACTTCAGTGTTGGGCTACATGACATGATTAAGTTAGCGTTTTAACATTACATTACATTACAAAACATTTAAACAATAAATATAACAGGAAAACAGAGGATACACTGCTTGTCAGATTCCAGTATATCATCCTCTGGAGGTGTGTTCTTGTCCATCATCTAAAAAACAACAATTCATTTGAGCGGGTTTGAAACGTTTCTAAACAATATATTGAGGATAGACTAATAGGTTCATATATACATTGTCGATTTTAAGGGCCTTTTCAATCCAATCTACAGTACTCAATTATCATAGCACTTTACAGAAATCAACTTGAGTGAACATTAAAAGCCTCCTGATATCAAGTCTCGTGAAGTTGAATAATAAGTATGTGAGACACATGTATGTAGAAATGGTTTTTGAGGGTGAAATCCTTGGACAAAAGTAATTAACTGCACGTGTGCCTAGCTTTGACAGCAGAGTTAGGTGAAGTTCTCGCAAATGTGTGAATATAAACAAGAATTAAATCACTCCTTACTTGAGCATCCGAGAACTGTGCCTTTAGTCTCTGGTTGAACGAGCCGATTTTCTCGTACTCTTGACCTCGATAAACAAACGCTTTGTTCTGAAATGCAAAGGAGAGAAAAGTGTCCTGTTAAGACAAAATATCAAAGATTGCCTTCTCTATGATACATGAATAAATGATGATAGTCAAAATGCAACTTTGTCCAAAGATGGAAAGGACTTAAGAATGCAAGCCCATACAAAATTCTAGAGGACAGTGAAATCATGTCAAGATATAGGTGTTTGTTAAAGGTAATGTTGACTTAATAGTTGCACACGAGTTAACATTTCCAAAGCCCCCATCGCTCGTTGATAACGTTTTGACAAACGTTCTGATGGAGTACGTTTGCACTGGCCAATCAAAACAATTGAAGGTGGAGTTGACATTTCCCGCCAGCGTATCTTGCCATGTGAACCCCGCGCTCTTCAATGCTGAGATTTTGATTAGTTGAACCAAACACATCACATCAGAAATAGGTCAAAAGCATTTGTCATGTACCAGCAGTGCCGGGTACAATACGGACAGACATCAGAACGACCTTCACGCCTAATGCAAAAGTACAAACTCATTCGATATTCCTCAAATGATTTTTTTTGTCGAAGGACGTACCCTAACCGAGGACGGAAAGCCCTTGCCGTAGAATCCTACTCTGAAGTACTCTGGTTCAGGCCGAACCTGTTTCATGATGTTGTCGAAGAACTTGGCTTGTTGTTTCTATTCACACAAGACATGATAAAAGAAGATCAGTACACACTTAAGTATTTGAATGTCCAGTTCACAGACAAACAATGACAGTTTTTGGTCAAGTAGGGCCTTACATACTAGAGCATTTTGGTCTGTAGCAAAGAAAACAACAACAACAAACGAAACTAAACAAAAGAAAAAAACAAACAAACAAACTAAACAATTATTCTATTTGTTCTCACTATGATCACTTTATCATATATTTACACAGTTAAGGATTTTACCAGAATGTCGCCAAGTTTAACGTAATCATACAGCAGTGATTCGTACTGTTCTGTCAGCTCCTTACACAGCTCAATCGCCTTCTCCCACGTCTAAAGGACAAACGAACAAAAAAAATGTAAGCGAGGTCATAAAATTAGTCCAGTCCCTGAACTCTGTCTTCCTCCCTTTTTTCACTGAAAGAGGAAAATATCTAGTTAACCTACTCCCATCCCCCTTAAAATGTTGTGGAAAAAAACAATGCCTCTTATTGCTACCGGCTATGGGAGTTGGAGAGGGGGGAGGGGGGNGGAAAGGAATCGTCTATCCTGCAAAATTGTCTGGGGAAGGGAAGGGGAATTTCTATTTTGTAGCAATTGTGACGAATTATCAGGTTGTCGTTGATAAAATAGGTGTCCCATGGAATTTTGGCCAGGGTTGCAGCATTTCACCCATAACTACATTAAAAGATGGTAGGTCATAATTTGATCACATGAAATCTACAAAAAGAGAGAAAATGAGGGAAAATTAGGAATGTAACGATGGAACATTGAAAGAAAGTAAAACAAAATCACTTACCTTTCCTTTATCTAGATAGTCAATAGCATCCAAATATAACTTTTCCTTGAGCTGGAAATCGTTCAGAGATTCTGGTGAATCTTCCAGAAGAGTCTCTGGCCACTGTTGAAAAGGAGAACAACGTTTAACTGGTAGGCTAAATTTCCGCCGCTGGCCTCGGGTCCGCTCGCAGGATCATTTCCCTAGCAGCGGCTGGTAATCGAGCCTACAGTGACAGACATCTCTCTTCTCTTGCAATGCGTGAAATACTTCCTTGGCACCACAAGCCGTTCTAATTAACAATTAGATTACGAGCTCGAGATTTCTATGAAATACTTACTAGCTCTGAACTGAAAGACTTAACTCTGCATTTGATAATGGCGACAAGATGACGCCAGCACGTCATGCTATAGCGTTTATTTTTCTTGTAAAATTTGAGGAACTAGAAATGGTAGCCATTATGCCAAGAACCTCTAGCCACTGCACTCTAATGGCTGATACTAGACGAGTAGCGCAGCCAATCAGATTGCAGCATATGCATTAGTATACTAGTAGAGCAGGAGCAGGGCTCGCAGAGATGCTTTGTAAGCTCCCTGAAGGGACTACCCTGAAATTTTTACCTTTAGATTTTTTTTTTACTTTTAAATAAAGGTGTCTATCTATCTAATTCAACTTACCAGCCTTAGCGAGGAGGATTCTTACATGAAGGTGGAAAAACAAGCTTACATAGTTTACCAAGGGTACTCTACTAAGAGTAGTTTTAATAATTTTCAACACAGATCAGCAGAAGATTGATCACCTTGAGTAGTTCAGCGTGTTTCAGGGCTGTATAACCAGCTTCTGTGAAGTTCTCTGCAGCAACGTGAAGGTCGCAGAGTCTGTTGATACACCTGTATGCAAAACAGAGAAATTTGATTTCGAGAATTATCGCATATGTCTCACACCAAGATTTGTAGTACATAACGAAAACGAGGAAAGAGGCAAGGGTGACAAGACGAGATAAGGAAAAAAACGAAAAGCACAAACAACTATCGGAAAGGAACGTCGCGGCGACTGAAATTATACCTCGAACATGATTGATAGTTACTTTGGTTCACGCTTATATAACCAGCCGTCTTGACTATTGTAATGGTTTATTGTTTGGCTTACCAAAGGCGCAGATCGCTAAATTACAGCGTGTACAAAACGCAGCAGCAAGACTTATTCTTGGCGTCGGAAAGTTTTCTCACATTACACCGACGCTTTATGAGCTGTACTGGCCGCCGGTTTCTTTGCGTATTGATTATAAGATTTTACTTTTGACTTTTAAATGTATTTATGGCCTTGCACCAACTTATTTTAGTGATCTCATTAGTATAAAATCGAATTCATCATATAATCTTAGGTCTACTGGTAAGCTCTTATTGGACCATCCCAAGGGAAAGATGCTTCCAACATTGGGGGCCAGATCATTTTCAGCAGCAGCTCCGAAACTCTGGAATGGCCTACCTGAAGAGCTTTGTCAAGCAACATCACTTGACAGTTTTAAATCTCGACTTAAGACTTATCTTTTTAAGAAGTATTTTTATAATTTATAATTTTATTTTATTTTTATGGTGATTGTAAAGCGCTATTGATGGAATATGTAAATATGCGCTATATCAATTGGTAAATTATTATTATTATTATTATTATTATTATTAAGCTTCGTGTTACGGTTTAAGGACATCTTGGCTAAAAAACAGTTTTTTTCAAATTACTTCAGCGATTTGAAGTCGATAATTCTTTTCCTGTTTTGATTGCTGGGGTTTTACTTCTGCTAATTTAGGATCTCAAATTTCCCGCGTGCCGCCATGTTTATCTGTGCAAAGCAAAGCTTCATGGGAAATTTTGACCTCATTACGCGGCAAAAAGGTAAAGTCTGCACACGAGCCAAGTGGCCCACCAGGCCGCGGTGGGACGTATTTAAAATGCAGCATTCTATGAATCTACCTTCTGTGCACTCCATATTGAGATCTCGGACCACGCAGTGTTAAAAAAGACAGATGGTGGCCAGATTGCATCAGGAAATAAGCAAAGGAAAACGAAAAAAGACAACAACAAAAAAACAAAAATACAAAAAAAAAAAAAACAAACAAAACAAATCTTACAACAGCTAAACCCGGAAACACAATGTGAAAAAGAAACTTTATTGCTTGCTATCGGAAAAAAGAAAAAAAAACGATTTCAAGTATTTTTTACATACCTGATGTACATGTCTTCACGTCCGATTTTTTGGTAAAATTCCTGAAAGGGACAACACGACAAGGATAATGCATGACCACAAAAAATGCCTTGCCATTACATTCTAGAAGACAGAGTTGCGACTACAAAGTCCCGTAAACAAAGTCATATTGGTGTTTTGGCGAATTAAGGACGTACGGGCCAAATCTTCGCATGTTCAGATTTTCTTGAAAATTTTGCTGTCGTTAGATAACGACCAGCTCATGACAGAAAAGCAAAAACGTCGAAGGGAGGTTTTGGAGGTAAAGCGCCTTAAAGACCGTGCTGTTTCTAGAGGCTCTGGTTATGTAACACAATATCCCTTCCATTGCTTCCTACGAGAAGATAAGTAGAATAAAGATCTCTGGAAAAGGCTGGATATGTTTCTGGGTTATTTAGTAATATTTTTTTAATTTTAATATATCATTCTTTCACTTAGATTAAGCTCTACAGGAGGATTGTGGTAAGCCATGCAGACTCAAATTAATACAAAAATTCGATAGCATTTGAGAAGAAAAAGCAAAATAATGAAAACTTCTCGTGTTCAGATTAAAATTCTTTCTTATTTTCAGAAAATGATAATAAAGTCCAGTTGTTTTGTTACCAGCAGAAGTACAAGGCAACTCATTTTCTGCTCTCTGTCGTCTTCAGCAGATATTCTCCTATAGAAAAATAAGTATATCAATGAACACAACCAAACTATAATTGCTCCCAACAGCGTTATCAAGTTCTAAAGCAAGTAAGTGACAAGAAAAAGAAAAAAAAACATCATATAGTGTGGGACGGTAAACTCTGAATGCTCTAGAAAATTTCATTTCCATTAAGGACAGCCATTTTCCAATTTCCCTCCAATCAATTGTCTGTCATAGTAACAGAGCCAACCACAGACCGCCAGAAATTTCAACTTTCCAGAGTACATAATTGCGAAAACCGCTGCGACCTGGAATCTACATCAGTACAGTTGGGAGCCGGCCAATGTGAACTCGGTTATTTCAAATAGCTCTTTTTCGACTGAGCGGCTTGTTGCCCCATTTCAGACCATGTGATGATACTCTTGAGAATTCTTCCTTTCAAATTTTCAAATAGTCGCGTGCATATGAATAAATAATTTTTAGAAGGATAAAAGAACAAATCTCTAGAGAACGTCACGTGGTCTGTAGTGGGAAAACAAACCGCCCAAGCGAAAAAGGTCTATTCCCCGTTATTTCGAACTCAAACCAATTTTTCTTGGATTTGCCTTTTAGTTAGTTACTATCGGCTATACTAGCGAACTCCCGCTATGCAGAACCATTTTTCGTTTCCCCTGAGAGTTAGCGGGGTTCAACTGTATTTAACTCATACTGACTAAACCACGAGGCCATACCTGTACTCAAGTAGCAACTCCAGCAGGTCTGTTACACGACTTACGAACGCTAAACCTTCTTCAGGAACGAGAAGTCCTTCCTTGAACTTTTCCGTTAGACTGCGAGAAGAACGAAGATATAGAAACGAAACAATTCATATTAATAATATATCTAAAACTATGACTATGACATCAGGTTAGAAGAGTGGACACTAAACATGACGGTCGTGCCATGAATAATTCATCATGTTGAAACAAAAGAAATCATAATCGTGACAGTGCTTGGAAATGTGTCCTAAATTAGCATACGTTCTTGTTAATTTATTCTTCCGTTTTCTGGTTAGGTTCAGTTTCGATTTAGGAGGTATTTCAAAACACACGGAACAGTGTTTGACTACAATTCCAAACACCTTTGAGTTCGCAAAAATATGCTTCCCACAATCTGTTGGAAATGTAATAGAACTCTTTCTCTCGTGTTTGAAATATTACTAATTATGTAGTGAAATATCTGTTTTTCGCAGTATCCATCTGACAGTGATGTGCTCTTTTATGAAGCCAAGCAAAGATCCTTGTGAAAAAACACGACATGTCGATTGACCGATTCACTTTAAACTAATCTGGAATTCGCGCGAGAACTTGCGAGCACGGCTACGGTTATCACGATATGCTCTCAACAGAAATATGTTAACTTGCCCAGAATTCGATGCAGCAGTTTGAAAACGATGAAACAGGTTGGCCGTTTCGGTTGAAACAGTGGGTTTAAATGAGACTTGAGGTGGGAATGTCTTACATTTGCTTGAAGAGTTTCTTGTACTCCTTGTCTCCTTTCTTGTCCACACTCACCAGCCGGTCAAGTTCATTCACTATTTTGGCTTCCACCTGATCACGGTGACCGAGAAAACAAAACGAAACGCTCTCATGAGAGGTCATAACAACGACAACGCTGCATTTATTTTAAGAGCTCCTTTCCCCAACAAATTTAGAATAAGCAGAATTCTACCTGTATTACACAATAATGTATATGTTAACTAGTATCTGGATTTATGAAAACCGTGTCATCTCCAAAGTAGAAGATATAAAAATTAAAAGCCATGCCAGTAATTCTTTTCCGTCGCCCTTTTTGTCACGTTTTTTGTCGTGATTTTTGGGCCTTAAGGAGTCTTAAAATGCGAGCGTGTAGCTCATTTAGTGCAAAACAGCGCACGTTTCTTTGACCACGTTTTTGTAAATCCACTCATGATATCTACGATATCTTGTGTTATATAATTCACCGAGCTTTTGTTTAAAAATGTTCCATAAGGATTATCTAACTAACGATGAAACCTAGGAAACTGAAAGACATTTTCTTTGCTTCAATATCACGATAATATAATTTCAATTTCCAACCCTGTTTGTCGACGAAGTGGCGATTGACTGCCTCATGTATGCATGTATACCCGCGTTTAAACGGAACATATAAGCGGTTTTCGCGCGAGTACAAAGTCAGAGTAAACATAATGTACATACCATGGTAGCCACGCCTTTCGTCCTCAGCTCACATTCCACCATGTCATAGAAAACTGGTAACGTAGCTCTGCGCAATTCTGTAGAACACAACATGAACAACGACTGTGAGATGAGCTGTGAAATGAAATCAGGAAACAAACTAAAAGGAAGTATTTTCATAAAATAAAATAATAATTAAAACAGTTAAAAACTTCAAGAAACGGGGAAATGTAATAATTTAGAAGACTCCCTGTTACCCTCAATTTTGTTCATACGAAGTCCGTTCGGTTGAACTGATAAATTGTCGTTTTTCAAACACTCTTCTTCCTAGACCCGTCCAATTTAGCACCAAGACGACAAATGAAAGAGTAAGAAAGGAAGCACATGAAGGATGACGGGAAGTTAGCAAATGTGTCCCATCATGCTCTTCCTACCGCCGATCTTGCTTCCATCACCAGTTGACTTGATGCACACACAAAAATAAATCGCTAATGTGAAACAGGAAAAAAGCTTATATCACCTGTTTCCGGTACAAGAGTCATTTCCAGGAAAGGACAAACCAACGTAAGAATGAAATGGCTCTGAGAGGAACCTGTTGGTCAAAAAGGATAAACAAAAGAAGATTAATAAGTGAGACATCAAGGAAAACACACAGGAAATGTTACATCTTCTACTGACAAACCGCAATTTTCTGTTTAGCCTATTAGCGATCAGCACCTACACGCGTCCGTTTCCCGCCAGAAAGACGTGGTTACCAACTTGTTTTATCGTTACTTCGCCTGCACCCGAAAATCTAACCTCTTTGCAACGTTTAAAATTTAAGATTCATTTCTTTCATTTTTGTAGTTCACGGACTACTTTACGGAAGTAAAGAGAAGAGAAACACCGAAAGATCTAAACTAAAATTACAACTCATTCTTTCCCTAACACATATGCAAGTCCAGGTTATTATGTCAAAATACACGCTCATGTCAAAACACGACTGATACAACGTAGAGAACAGTATCTTTCCTAATGGAGCGCTCTCATTCGGATGTTTTGTATACAGCATTGACCAAAACACAAGTTTGCACATTATTACAGTACAAAGCGGTTTTTTTTATTTTTTTCTCAGAGAGAAATCTCTCGGGATAACGATCAAGACTTACCAAGACTCTGCCACATGTGAACAATCTCAAAACCCATGACTTGTCTCATGTCACCATATCTACAGAAACAAAAACAAATATCTCAAATTTATGTCAACTGGTGTCTAGTAATGTTGTATGCAATATCATAGGTACGCCTCCAAGCGCACAAATAACTTAGCTGCTTCAAGTTTTGTAGACCCTGGGTAAGATTAATGCAATACGATCAAGAGACAAAATTTCTTTCAGTTGAATTCAGGTGCCCAATTCAACAAGGCAACTAACAGACACAAGTTTCAAAATTTCCAGTCTTCAATCAAAATTCCTAAGATGGCATTTTCACGTTGGAAATCCTAACTTCTATGCACAGCCGATCAAAACTCGTTATTTCTTCTAGTACTGGTCACCACTTCTGTTACGCAGCAGCTTTCGAACACTTCTTAACTGACGCCATGTCTATCGTTTTCTCTTTTATTTGAAAAGTGAATGGTATGAAAATTTAGTAACGCGGTTCTACATGCCGTTGACTACAGCTCTGCTACCTGGCGATCATTTATTTTCTTCGTGCGCTGGTCCTAATTCCCGTGGGCTGTTTACTGGGTGAGGGTAGCATTCGTCAAGTACTTCATGTAATTACCTGTCAATGATCTTGTTCTTCTTCACTTCAGTAAAGTTCTCCAGTTGAAGGTGAGATTGAGTGAGAAATGACACTGACAAGTTAAAGTAGTTGTTCCACAACTGGAAAAAGCAAGACTTACAATCAGCACGTTAAAACAAAATCAATTTAATACATACTCATTACAAGCAAAGACATCTCACCTGATAGTCGAAGTTTTCTCCAGAAAAATTATCCAAAAGAGCTTGTGAAAAATTCTGAATGGCCCTGAGAATCACGCTGGAAAAGAAGGAAACATTGACAGGTTACTGTGAGTTTAAAATGAAAAGGCACAATGGGCAACGTTTGTGACATGTTTGAAGTTTGTCCTTGAATTACACAAGATATTCAGATGATATTGCCCAAGCAGTCTGAGAGTTGTCACGCACATTTTTCGTCATTAACTTAAGTCACATTACATAGCAACGCCTCAGATACAAACCGCATCCTCCATCATTGAGTTACCGACACTTGTTTCCAAGAAACTTTATACCAAAGCGCGCGCTCTGATCCTATCTAATTCCTATTAAGCCATCATGAACGAAATCTCAATGTACGCACGGCCGTGCGTATCTAAGAGGACGTGTGCAGTTTCAATTTAGCTGCAAAATTTCCGTCGAGTTTAGTGCAAGTTCCTTTTGTTTAAGCAATGTGAAGATTATTCTGAACAATCCAAACTCTACTTCGAGCCTTTGACTTAATTTTGCCAAGCTAAGATGCTTGCTTAAAGGTGGGTATTTTGACTTCGTTTGTCTACATTTTCATTATAATTAATTCGAAGAAGCGAATTTTTCATTGCTAATTTTAGAAACCAGGTTAAGCGTTTTCGTTCAACCGTTGATCAACTTATTGTGGCGTGTTAGGATCCTAATGACCTTTGATTTCCTTCGCCATGCATTGTGAGAACTTTGTAGTCAATCACAAATAAAACATGTTTTAGCTCCCAAGTTGTTGTCGCCATCTTACAAAAGAATTGGTTCATGCTTTTGGCTGTGCGTATATCGAGTTATGGAACACTTGGGAAGTTTGGAGAGCACTCAAGAAGCCAGAGTTGCTCTCGGCTGTCGCCTCGAGCAACTCTTACGCTTCTTTTGTGCTCTCCAACCTTCACGCGTGCATCCATAACTCGATATACGCACGCTAAGCATGAACCAACTCTTAAGTAGTAATTGCCCACCTGTTTCCTAAGACGATTATGACGATCCAGTCTCTGAGGAAGATTCCACGCTTGACTATCTCAGTGAATACCACAAACACATTGACCAGGAAATCCTTGAGCTCCTTGTTGTTGCTGAACTCCTTCAGATATCGCTGGTAATGCTCTTCTTTCATGATCCACAGTAAATTTGTCAACACTGCCAGAAAATGCCTCTGAAAAATTGGATGCAATGAGGTGTAAAAACCCAAAATAAAAGCACTGTCAAATCAAGCATGTTGCTGGATCTGACAGGGAGGGGAATGAGAAAATGATTATGGGAATGAATAAACGTGACAACAATAGAGAGGGACAAAACACTTGCTAGATATCCACCTGTTTGCGTGTTGACTTAGCCTGTTTTGCCACAGTGCGTAGGCGTGTAAGATCTTTACATTAAATTGTCGTTGTTAGAGCCTAGAGCGAATAGGTTTAATCTGTTTGAGAAACGTCGCTCCAGATTGTAGGCCCTGTTTGCTGTCAGCTCATGAATTCATACGCTCATCACCTGTGTTCAATGCAAGTGAACATATTATTCTACTGAAATAGTCAAGCGACTTGCTCGTATTACCACCCGTGTTGCAGAGCTTTGCAAGAAGTTCAAACAGGCTGCGGAGTAGACATCTTTTTGCAACATGTCCAAACATGTTGCCGCGACTAGGTACAGAGGTGGTAATACGCGAAATAATGCTTTTCAATTTGCAATGCAACAATGTTGCAAGATAAGTAGAAAGAAAATGTTGCCCTATCACACGGCCTTAAACCGCTTACCAATCTGCTTGGAGCAGATGAGTGGTACGTTCTATTTATAATCACATACAGATGTAAACAGACAACAAAGCATTGCAGCAGTGCATCATTTATTGACAAGACCACTTACCGCCAGTTCACTTGTCCTGTCCACCGTCATTACTGTTTGAAACACAGGCTGCAGCAGGGTTCTTACAACGAGATACACATCCTCTTCAATTGGACCCTTCTACATGAGTAGAAAACATTTTTGTAAGTTATGGAAAGTTCCTACGATAAACAAAGAACTCACAAGGAGCAACAAAGCCTGATAAAAATGTCAGTGAGCCATTCGACTTTAAAGCGGTTTTTAGTGTGTGTGACATCTTGACCTTTCATATTATCTAAGAAATAATAATAATAATAATAATAATAATAATAATAATAATAATAATAATAATGTATATAAAAAGACATGTTCCTTGTTTCTATTAAGTTGAAAAAGCACAAGTGGAACTTTGGATAACATGGGGCGCTTTCCATTAAACCAAAATTCTGGAAGTTTTGGAAACGCTGGCAAATGGTACAAAACTTTCCAGGGAAAGTTTATAGAAAATCCGAAAATTGTAAAATTTCCGAAATATGTACCATTCGAAGATTTCAAAAATCCCGGGAACAAAATCAAATGAAACAGAAATTTCCGATTATAAATTTTCCAAAATTTCGGTATACCTCACGAGGTTATCCTTGTTTCAGGAAATTCAGGAAAAAAATGTCCCATTTCCCTTCCCCCACCCCCACTGGAAAGTTTTGGACGAATGAAAAACGCCCACCAAATGGTTAAGAGCTAGTCTCTAGTTGCTAGTCGTAAACTAGGGTTTCTCTTGCCTCACGGCTTTAACTCGATAAAAATACAGTGATTTCTATAAGTAATTTTAGAATAACGGCAAAAAGAAACAGAGTAATTGTTTTCATTTGTTTAATACCAAATATTAAATACATTGACGTGTGGCATGCCCAATGGCTGTTATATACTTACTGCAGTTCCGTGGTGCAAAGCTGTGAGAATTGATCCCAGTATCTCTGCACATGTCCTCATGTCTTGTTTTTGTATCAAGTGTTGTTGAATGATAGTCACCAGGACTGGCATAAGGGTTTGTCTTGATTCTTTGCAGGAATAAAGTCAAATGAATAGACCAATTTCGATATATCAAAGTTCAGCCTAAAACAATAAACCTCAGCACGAGGCTCCGGGGAATAAACACAGAGTTTGTGGGGTTTATTCCCCGGAGCCTCATGCTGAGGTTTATTGTTTTAAGCTGAATTATAATATATCGAAATTGGTCTATTTATGTACAACTTGCTTGCAACACAACGTCACCAGGACTTGTTCAAAGCGGACTTTTTTTATGAGAGCACTACCCTTTTGAAAATGGTATAAGCCATGAAATCTATAAACTTCCACAACTTGATATCACGCTCCATATCAAAATTGAACAGTGTACAATGTCATTTTCAGAGTAAACTTAAAGAAAGTCATGTGCTGTCCAGGCACAACATACCTATACAGCTTACTGTGACAGGAGAGACCGCTTGCCCAGGAGTTGGGGTAGGATTGGGGTTGTAACATGGTGGAACAAAATGATAGCACAGATACAAGTGGAACTGCCAGAATCTCCATAGGGATAATTACCTTTGTGGACAAAGAGTTCACTCTTTACAGTGGCATCAATAAACTGTAGTTTACTACTGGTGAGGGCCTTTTGGTCCTTTACAACGCTGAGAAGGAATTGCTTAGCAATCATACTACAAGCAAAAGAGAGAAACAATACATTAAACTAATGGCTGACAAAGCAATAATGTTCCGCGTTGCTTAATCTGCATCCAAAAACCGAATAGCAAGGTATAGTAGTGCTGTAATCGATACTGTTACATTTCTGTTTCTTTGTTCAACTTTATCATATTTCCTGATTTTCCAATACTGAAACACAACCATGTAATTTCAAACCCACTCAAACTAATACAGAGACATTCTTGAGCGATGCAATGTCCGTTAGCGCGGATACCTAGTTATATGATTACAATGTACCTCGTCAAAACTATGGTGAATGCGAGAGGAATTGGTTGAAAATTAACAAGACCATTAACCTTCACAAATTTCCAATTCAATTCCTAACAGTTTGAATATGGCTAGGGGACAAAAGCTGATTGATGCAGTCTGCAAACATTTGCAACACAATGGTAAATAACATACCTCAGTTCCTCGATGCTAAAAACTTTTAAAGCGTCTTGGTAAATTCCAACAAAATGTTGCATTGCTAAAGACTGTTCAACATCAAGACAAATGAAGATAAAATGGAAATTAGTTGCCGAGATGGCAACATTTTTTCATGTCATATCAAGTACTTGAAAGACTATATCGTGCAATCTCTGTTATCATGTGTCTGAACTCGCTCAAACAAGTAGATCTACTTGGCTTTGTAAACTTAGAAAACAAACGAAACGTTAGTTTACTAGGGTTCTCTTAAAATCTTCCGTAAAGTGGTTTGCACTTGACTGTCGAAAGTCATTCGCATTTTCTTCGATTTTGTATCATAACGCTACGCCATTGGCTTAAAAATCTGGCGCCACTTTGTCATCCAATCAGAAGTAAAACCAAAACCAATCCTGACGCGCTCGCACACTTTTTCCCGCGGTTCGCGTCAGCTACATGTATTTACTTGCATTTTTCATTGATTGGTTCAATGCGTTGTCTGCGTCCTTTGCGATTGGCTACAGTGATAACTTTGGTTTTGATTTTAAGAAATTCAATTAAAACTGCTCTATGAGCAAAACCTGTTATCTAAATTACAAAATACAAAACTGCAACAAATAGGCACAGAAAGAGAGGCAGGCGGAGCATCTGGACCACTGGCTGCCCTTCTAAGAGCTATGCCGGAACATGGTGAAAGTTCGTTTTTCTCAATCCTTCTCAATCTTATTGAATCTTGACCATCCTACTTTCTGAGTGTTTTCCTACCTGAGTAGAATATATTTCTGATACGTCCTTTGATTTTGAAAGATTTTGCACGAGGCAAAAAATGAGTTAATGCATAGTGAAAGAGCCGCAAAATAATTAGAGCACAATGTAAGCACCAACCTGTACAGTAACATCAGCTATACGTGAAGACATCAATTCATTTAGATCAGTAAACACCGAGCTCAGGTCCTGCCTGAATTGCTCGTAACTTGCTGCATCTCGTCCCCGATGCATGCTGAAGAAAAAAAGCAGGCGACTGTAGTCAAACTCCAAGTAAATATACCTAACGACTAGATGATACACAACAAAATATCTGAAAAGAGGGTTGCCGTTCCTTTCTCCCGAAAACTAAACTGTTTTCGGTGAGCGGTCTGAAGAGAAAAACAGAGGATACCAAAGAAAACAAGACAATAATTCTGTATTATTCTCCTTCAGAGCTTGATGCGCAAAGGTTAATACAAAGATTATAAATCACAATCAAACGTATAAGGATCAGAACGCTTTCATTCCGCTTTAATCACTTCTTGCATGGACTCTAAAAGGCTACTGACTCCACAGTCCATCGCTAAGTGTAAACCAGTCTTACATGTAAGACTTCTTGAGGTTTCCTTTCTCGACCTGAACGCATGGAAATGTAAAATTAAGTATACTGCGCGGGGGAGGGGAGGGTAGAGATCAATGAGCAATCAGCTGTTTACTTACTGATTGGCTGTGAAGTTTAGCGAGTGGAATTCATATTGATACATTCACAGGTAATGGAATAAACAATTTACCTGATCAACAGCATTCTTGACTGAATAATAAATTTAAAAAGATATTCTAAGGCCTGAAAAAATAACAAGAACATGAGTGAAAATAGGACGAAATAAATAGGCCGTATTCGTACTCTCGGTATTGGACTGGAACTAGCTTGCAATGGAGGCTCATGCGGAGAATATCATTAAAAAGAGTAATGTCATTTGCAGTTTAAGGTCATTCCACTGAAATAGAGTCTGCACTGAGATTTTTGTGTAACTTTGCCTATTGATTGTTTATATGATAGGAACTTAAAATTTTGAAATAAAAATGAGGGGTCCCCATGTTCGTTTAGGAGCAACAGCACCTTGTTTATACCCTTATAAATCCTTATAAGCACCATGATTGTAGTCACGATTGCTTGCTAAATTCACGTTTCTGACGATTGTTTTTTGTTCTACACGGAGAATTGGTCCATATTTATTTTACACAGAGAAATTTATTACTCAATTCAAAACAACAGCAAAAAAATGATGGGACACCATACTCGTTTGCGAGAAAATGACGATTTACCTCTATGGCGAGGACCAGCCGTAAAGAAAAAGCCGCCATTTTTCAATGCGCGCGCTAATCACGCGTTAAATTATGCGCAGCAGGGATGTGCAGTGCAATACTGGGGAATGACCTTTAAAGACTCCCCGCATGAGCCTCAGTTGTAAGCTGGTTCCAAGAATATCAATATGGTCTATTGCAAAATAATAAATATTATCTACTTACAAGTTATAATTATAGAGGACATAAAATCGCAATTATTTTTCGTCAAATCAAGTACTGCTTTCCATGGATAATCGGTAGAAACAAACATTTTGTGATTCTTATTATTCACGCACAAAATTGTAGTGGCACTTTTGAGCTCTGTTATAGATACAAAGAAATCCCTATAACAAAAAGCTGTGTTGTACCGCGTTTTAGATCTGAGAGAAGGCACTATGACCTCCACGAATCGCTAATTTCATCGAATCCATTGAGAAATAAATAGTGTGATTAAAACATTTCTACGTTTACAAGAAAACAATGATTCAAGCATTTACCGTCATGACATTTTTGAGTTTTTCAATCTTGTCATTTTCTCCAGTATAAATCAAGGCTTGTTTCAAACAGCTAATTAATTTCCTACAGGGTGGGAAAAAGAAAGAAAATACAAATTTAGTAAGTCAGGTAATTAGATTACACCGTTTGTCGTTTGTCCTGATTAGAAAGTCATTTACTGCAAGTATTTTCAATATTCATCTACCTTTAAGTCCAAAAGCTAGCGCAGAATACATGTACATGATCCAGGCAATATAAATTCGCATATCCCAAATAATTTATACTTCAATTTCTTTCTAAAAGTGAGTATCTGTATCAAACGATGAAAACGTTACAGATGATTTCTTCTTCTCAAATAATTTGCAAAGCACAACGCTTTTTCTATTTTTTTTTTATTTTTATTTTAAGCAAATGCTAACAAACAGTCGTCACAGATAAATCACTGTTATGTTGAACATACTTGTGAGCCAAGGCTGCGCTGAAATGCTTTTCAATGTACGTCGTCAATACATCTTGAAAGTGTTGATACTTCTCATCGGAAAGGATGCAAATGATAAACACCTGTAAAAAAGAAGGTAGGTTGTAACAGTATAAAATCGTCACCTCTTAGCTCTACAACTGTTATTTCTTGATGATCCTTGGACTGATCGCCCTCAATCACTCGGCACTGCATTAAAAATATCCACCACCCCCACATACATGTAAATTTGGATAAACAGTTAAATTTTGTGAGAAAATGATTTTTGTCACTGACACAGCCATAGTTGGTCACCAACTTCTTCTTCACTTTCAGTGGGTTTATGGTCGCCACTGATACTTCACCCTTGTAAAGAGTCATGGAGCTACGCTACGGTTTGCGCATCTTGAAAAGTTTAGTCTAAATTTTTCAAGTTCGTCGTTTGTAATCCGTGTTAATCTTTCCCATCTTTAACCATCCTTGTTTTTCTATGGTTTAGTATTATTTCTTTGGTGTTTTTCTATCTTAGTAAACTATTATTTTCAGGTTTCCTTTACTTAAAAGTAATTTTGGACAGGACTAAAATAACTCGAAACATCGTGAAGACCATTTCCAAGGTCAGCTTTTAAAAATCTTAACTTTCATTTTGGTTAAAACAAACAAAAGTGCCGAAAATACAATATAAAAATTCAGGATTGCACGGGACTTCAGGGACTCGAACCCATGACCTCTGCGATACCGGTGCAGTGCTCTATCAACTGAGCTATCATGCTAACAGGGAACTGGTCCCTCGGCGAGTTCGTAAATTATTAAAGTCAATGTATCTACTAACCAAAGCTTGAAACACCAGGTTACCGTACTGCTCTGCACCTTCATTCAGAATAGCAAACAGAGCATCGAAAATGTCCTGAAGGAACTGTAAAAAATACCAAACATAATTATAGGTTTGTTCTGTTTTTAGGAATAGCCAAAACCTCCTTTGCACAATCAATTATGAACTCACTCACCTTTACAATTTCCTCTCCGTCAATTTTTAGCAAAGACGTTAACACAGACGGGATTTGACGCTTCTGCGATCTCCATCTTAACAGGCCAACAAGGTCAACTATAAAAACATTTAGGAGGAGTAAAGAAACATTTTGAGCATACATCAAATTGTTTGGAAAGTCAGGAGACATTTTCTCAAAAAGAGTTCGCCATATAAAATTAAATCGGAAGAGTTCTCACCATTTTGAGTCAGCTTCGTGGAACACACTATAGTCTTGATGTAGAAGGTATCTTTAGAGTTGCGTACCAGTCTATCTGAGCTGGAGTTGACATGATTTTCCATTTGGGACAGTCTTGATGGCATGTGAAGATATGTCATTGAGTCATAGAAACACTTCTCGTCGTACTGTGCAAAAAAAAAATCAAACTAACAAACAAAAAATTACAGTTAACACCCATGTATAAGGACCTATAAGAACCTACAGAGAGAAATTTGGACATTAGACATCTATCATATAAGGACACATTCAGCCTGAAATTTGAAACAGGTTCACGTTTGTGAGATCAGCCCTTAAGCAGGGCTGCAAATAACAGTCGCTCATCGGACATTGGCCGACCAAAATTTGCTTACGTCTGACGAAATCCCACCTGTGGTCAAACAAGATGTTCGGAAAATTTTTTTTTACCCTAAATAACCTTACGTTAAGCATGAATACAAATCTACCTTGAATAAATCTTACTTTTTTTGGTAATGACCGACCACAATTTGTTTTGTCTGACCAAGATGGTGTCTTAGTTAGACATATGTCCTTTCAAGAAAAAAAAATTACTTGCAGCCCTGCTTAAGTCAATTCAAAAAACCGGGACAGACTTTACCTTGTACACACAAAGGTCATGTGTGTCATCAGGCACTGTTGTACCATCAGCTCTCATGAGACTCACAAATGAAAAACCAAACGTCTTGTCAGCTTTTTCTTTTTCTAAATAATTGAGCAAATAACAAAATAGAAAAAAAATAATATTCTACCGTGTCGCAGTTGTTTGGATACAATGTAACTTTCATAGCTATTAATCAGTTAATAGTTTAAAAATACACACAAAAACAAATAATAAACAAACATGTATTGAAAGAGAACCCTTAACAGGATCCAATTCCCTAAATATAGGGCTACTCGCACATAATGTAACGTTGCTTTGACAATGGACGTTCTAAGGCAAATAGAATAATTCTATAATTGTTGTTTTTCTGTAAATAGTGAGCAATAATAAAAAAAAAACTGAAACTGAAACTATTATTAACGCGAAAGCACGGAGACAACATCACGTGATGTATCATCTTAATACTTTAACAAATTGACAAAGTTTAATACGTATTATAATAGACAAAGCACAAGCTAACATGACAATAAATTACCAAATAATGCTGTTTTACCTTCAAACTTTGACAAGTGTCGAAAGCCAAATCTCAAGTGGGAACCCAGGAACTTGTCAAAGGGAAGCTGTATCTGATAGTCCAGAGGAAAAAAACGTTTACCTCAATACTTAAGGGCCCATTAACCGATCTTTTCGAGCCGTTGCTAAGGTAAATTTATACTCATATAACCTCATCATTTCTAGTTAGTTCAGAGTTATTTCATGTGTTTTAACTTTTTCATGATTAGTAACACTAGTGATGACGTCATCANACTAAAATTGCGGATTATCAGTTATATCGTCTTTACAACAATTTGCAAAGATATACTATTTCAGAATAATCACAGTCGCCAAGGTGTTATCAGCGTCATCCTTCTACTCCAGCTGATAACACTAACATCCTTAGTGATCCAAGGCTGATGGTTTCTTATTCTTATCTCTAACATTTCTTTTTTTTTTTTAATGCAGATATTGACGAGTGTGCGGTCAACGGCTCATGTGACCAGAACATGCTCTGTGTGAACTCAGTGGGATCGTATTCGTGCAGTTGTCGCCAAGGATACCGCGCAAAATAAAACCAACTGATCTGCATTGGTAATTATAAAGATATTTTCATTATGTGAAAGAAAAAAAGCTAAACTGAGTAGAAAAGTAAGCATCGGAGAGGGCTTATTTCCGTCATTGTTTTTATATTATTGACTCTGTTGTCCTGGATAAGTCATGTGACAGTGTTAATTCACTTAAAAAACCTGTCAAACCGGTTAGACTAACCAGGATAAACAACGAACATGATATCATTGACAAACATGTCAAAGTTGTTGTACATTACAATCCACAACATTTTATACATGAGAACAAAGCCTATGAGTTCTATGACGTCTCCCGTCATCGTATTCCACACAGAAATGATAAAATCCACAATAAATACCTGTGTGAAGCTTATTATAATTGAGCTCCGGCGAGCGAGCGAGGCCCCATAGCTTAGAAAATTTGGTAACCCATCGATCTCAAAAATCTTGGTTGTCACGTGACTGTCCGTACGTACGTCCGTCCGTCCGTGCATCCGCACGCCAAGACCCATACATTAAAAATAAGACAGTACAACCATTACCATAGGTAAGTCTGATAATGGACCTCGATGTTATAATTAATTGACAGCTTTCAAAATAAGGTATCCGCTGACCAGAATCACGTGATCAAAACTGCGGGCTCAGGTCAAGAGCTCATCGAGGTCACGTGTTTCTCGAAGTTGACCGCTGACCAGCTAATGTGTTTTCAATTGGATCGCGAGATCTAGCCAGGTTATTACTTTGGGGAGAGGAAGGGAGTACATGTAAATGCAAAACTTCGGCGCGAATTAAACCCTGCGTGTTGTTGACTTTTCCTCCGAAATATTCCTTGCACAATCTTTTCTTGGAAAGTCCCTGATATATTGCGTGCATAATTTCCGTAATCTTGGGTACACTCATTAGGTATGGTTTGTTAAAATGTAACTGAAAAAAATAGTGAAACCACACACTGAACAATCATTTGCTCACAATTGATTATTATTTGAGTTTCTAATCCAGGGAAAAATATCCTCTTTTCATTTATGGTTAATTATTTAATTACGAGCTTCGCTTTTAGGCTTGGTTAAATCTATATATTACTACTAAACTGTATTCCAGGTACTTTTCAGCTGCTCCACGTATGTTTTTAAAAACTGTGAAAACGAGACACACCTCGGGAGGAGTCTACTGGCTTGGCATGCAGTAGTAGCTTTTCATTACGGTTTGTGTTGCATTCATGATGTTTTTTTTTTCTTTTGCCTTAGATATTGACGAATGCGAGGAAGAAACGTATTCCTGTCCGAAGTTCTCAAGGTGTAAAAACAAGAATGGTGGTTATGATTGCCCATGTAAAGATGGATTTGAAAAGACAGCGCAAGGAACATGTTCAGGTAAACATTATACTTCATTTTACTTTGCTTGAACCTAAGCTAAGCCTAAGGAGTTAGACAGAACATTAGTTGCAGTGGTGGCGGCCGGCTGGATGGTTTGATGACCAACTGTATGTTTTATTCCGCTTCGGCAAATAACATGTCAAATGCAACTCGCTTTAATGCGAACCCATTTTCAAATAAAGGCACGGTTGTCGTAATCTAGTTTCAAATCTCAATAGTAATCAGATGGTCTTGGCATAGCTTGTGAATAAGTTGATGGGCTCCAGTCTGAGATGAAAAGAAAAGAGTTTTCTTAACGGTTATGAAATCTTCGTTGGGTCAGTCTACACTATGCATAAATTTCTATAAATTATATTTTCTATTCTCTCTAGAAATTTGCACTCCGAAGTGTGATGAGAACTCTTATTGTGAAAACGGAAAGTGCCTGTGCCGAAGAGGATTCTCTATGGGGTTGGACTATACGTGTCAACCAAGTAAAGGTGAGACAAGCACAGATATAAGAGTTGCTATGAGGGTTCTGTTGCAAAATTTAGCTGTCAAAGTAGTCGAATATTATCGAAACAACGAGTGGCAAAAAAGAATGAGATAGAGGAATAGATATCCGTTAAGATTATTGTTTGCTCATGCACAGGATAATTGAGCACTGAGAGCTAGATAGGCTCACTTATCTTAAAGTTATTTTCTGTGTTTTATATATTTATGTATAAATTATACAACGCATAACTGTTATTACATCATTGCAGGTCTCCTAGGATCAGGAATGTCGCTCCAGTCTCCAGCTATACTCCTCACGGCTGCACTGCTTTGGTGCCTGGCCTTGATATAACATGTGACTTGTTTTGTTTTTTTTTTTTACCTTTCTGTAACTTCCTTATTTGCATTTTTCTGATTCCTTACTTTTATTATGTACGTTTTACAAGGAAAACGCCCCAAATATACTGATCCATTGCTTGGCTGATGTAATTTGTGAGACAATGTTTTGATTTGATATATATTACACTGATTTTTCCGGGATTTGCTCTATAACCAAGGACGGATCGAAAGAAAAGAGTGTTTCAAGCTATTTATTGAGAAAGATTTTGTTTGCTTTACATAACATAACTATCACCTTATCATTAGCTTAACAAAGGAAACCTTTATATATGTAGTCATGTCTATCTGTCATTGGTTACAAGCGAATAATACTAAGGTTTTTTCTGTATAAATCTTGTTTTGTTTTTTTCACTTGTCAGTTTATTTTTGCCATGCATGCAATGTTTCCCATTTAGATGATGTGACCATCTTCTTCGGTGCCCAGTTTGTTTAAACTGTCAGTCTGAACTTTATTAAAATTCGGATAGTTTGGATTCATTAAGCTATTTTGATACATGTTTGTCTTTGCCAGTTCCATTATCTCTGTTTTGGTGTGGTAACTTATTAAAAACAAAGGACGTTCAAATTTTTTGATTTTTTTACATCCTAGTCAAGACAATAGACCAATTTCGATATATTAAAATTCAGCCTAAAACGATAGACCTCAGTGCGAGGCTCTGGGGAATAACTACAGAGTTTGTGGGGTTTATTCCCCAGAGCCTCGTGCNCTGATGTCAAAACACCAGCAAAACGACAATCTGCTTAGAGCTATACCTTTATGGTCTCACTCCATTTTGGGCTGCTGTTGTGGTAGAAGATGATTGATTGGTATTCCGTTAAACTGGGACCACCTGCTCCAAGGAAAACACAGTCCTGAAAAACAGAAATAGCAAAGTACAGAAGTCCAACCCCATGTACATGATGAGAATCCCAGGCACAGATAAAGTGGTTAGTAGAATTCTGATAAAGACATGGAGGCCATCAAATGCTTGCTGGATTCAATGGTTATAGAAACTGAAACCTTACAAATTCATTGGACGATCCCTCAAAATGCCATCTGATAAAATTGACTGAATGCAAGGGATTCCTGGAAGGAGTATTGCATTACAGAGCATGTTTGTCATCATACTCATAGAATGCTGTTTCCTGCAATACCTTGGTTGTACAAAGAACAGCAGGTTCTAGGGCAACCTCATTCCTAGGGTCTCACTTTTTCCCACACACTGGAGTGCGAGAGAGTTGTTCTGGAAATGGGAAGAAGAAAGACCCTGGAAATGGATTGGTTCTAGACCACAGTTTTAAGCCAGTAATGTTCTACTGCAAGTGTAGAACATAGTTTGGTATAAATTATTTATAAGTCTGGAATAAATTTAGCCTCTTGGAATTTCCACTAAAACAAAAAGCACAATAGACCAATTTCGATATATTAAAATTCAGCCTAAAACAATAGACCTCAGTGCGAGGCTCTGGGGAATAACTACAGAGTTTGTGGGGTTTATTCCCCAGAGCCTCGTGCTGAGGTCTATTGTGTTAGGCTGAATTTTAATATATCGAAATTGGTCTATTAATAGAGTGTAAATCCTAGTTGTTCACATCCAATTAATGCAAAGCCAGAATTTGAAAGTCAGCTTTGAGGGTCGAAACCTTGATTTTGTCACATTTGTCAGGGAAACAAGAGTTCTTTAACACTCAAAGTGAAAACTGTTGTGAGGGCCAAAAAAATAATAAGNTCCTTTCTTTTCCTCTCTGCCTGAGTATTAACTACAGCAACACAAAAAAGCTTTCCCTATTTTCTATTGAGTTAACGAAACACTCGAGAAAGTTTTGGAGAACTCCTAAGAGTAGTGGAAACACTTGTCTGTTGTGCGTGTTCCCACAACAATTCATGTTCTCCCAAATGTCAGCATTTCTATATTAATTAAACATAAAAAGAAAATGTTCCTTAAATCCTCGATTCAGTTTAAAACAAAACCTCACATCCACTCTAGATTTTTGACAGTTATCCTAATTTTCTAAGATGGAACCCTTTCACAGATTTGACTGTAAACAGTAATGATGATGAGCACCAACCTGGCATGATGACGTCAGGGAATCCTAATTTTCTGACAACTGAAATCCCTTTGGGTAGCAAAAGGGGATTCTCACTTTGAACCTTAAAATAATAACAATGCTATTAAATGCGACTGAAACAAGTCCAGATAAATAGTATATTTTCCCTGATTCTAGATTGAATTGGATACCTGATTACTATAAGTCTTATTTAGTTATAAATTTTACACTTCCGCTGTTTGTTCCTTCCCCACTCTGCACCCCAGAATCACACACACTGCAATTTACAATTTGCAAAAAAAAAAAGAAAAAAAAAACTATCACTACGAAATAAAATAAAAATAATTCACCTTATCTAGGTCACCGTGAAATGCCCTCAAAGAAACATGGATACCTGGGAAAGAGTTTTTAAAATAAGAAAATTTGAAACAAAAAGAAAATGAGTAAAAGGAAAACAATGAAATTCAAAATTCGTTACTATTTATAGCAGACATCTTGCTAGGTTGCAGCACTCAATTACAGTATCAATAAAAATTATAACAATAATAACAATTAAAATCTTTAAAGCCCGGACGTCCATGTGAGGCTGAGCCACACGTAAAAATTACATAACAATAATAAATATCATTTTATCCTTCACATCAAAAAAATTTAAATGTGAAGGATAAAATGATATTTCTTTAAAATAAGTTGTTGGATAAAAGCCTGAAAAGATTTTTTTTTTCACCTAAAATGATTAAAAAATAAAAAATAAATTTAGAATAGATAATAATAACAAAAAAATACACATTGTATACCCATTGAATAACATTTTAATCATTCGATAATTTTCTTCTACCATATTTGCAATAGCCCTGTCTACTACATGTATTATACTGTGCTGGTCAGTACTTGACTTTGACTCACCACTATTTGAGCTTGGAGCACTGTATTTACTGGTTTGTTTCTTGATGATACTATCATGGACTGTCCAGAAATCACTATCACTACAACTGAAAAAGCACATCCCAACATAAAATTTAATTTATTAGATTATTATGCATACCCAGGGCATGGACAAGTGCTGTCCTGTTGTCTGGGACAACTTGATTTTCCTGAAGAGCAAGAAAATTTTGATTCTAACTTGCAAAGGGATGTTCCTATTTCTTTTAATAGTTAAAAATAAAGAGAGAAATCATTAAAAAAATGGTGAGTTCTCCCTTTAGAGGGTGCATTCAAGAATAGCTCTAGCTGTCTGCCTTACGGAGGTGTCCATCTTACAGCACCAGTGTCTGCTTTGAGACAGTTGAATGTACTGTGTTCATAAATTCTTTAGCAAAGAAAATGCTCAAAAATTCAACAAAAAACCATCAGAAGTAAAGGAAACAAAAACTAAAATGCACTTACGTAAAGATTGGCATGTGAAATTCTTTGCCTTCTAACTGTTCCTCTTTTCCAGTCAAAACATCAACTATGTCTAACACTAATAAGGATAAACGAAACATCTTATGCGCAAAAGTACTCAATTTAACAGCAACACATCTGGTGCCAAGTGCTGATTTAAGATAAGAATATAACTTTGCTGTTACTGAAAATACTTAAAGTGCCCCTATGATCAAATTCTTGATATCCATTTTTAAACTTGGAAAATATTATTTTCCAAGTTGTAGTGGTGGAGCGATTTCACTCCATCACTCTTTCACTTCCCGTTAGACATTTGGAAACATGGGGCAGGGCGGGGGAAACTCCAATATGAAATTTAATTCCTAANGCTAGCTGTCTTGTGTTATCACCCTTACAAATGACAAAGACCTATTTTACATGTAAAGTTACGGTACTTTACACGTGAAGTTAGAGAGACCTGAAATATGGATTTCTTCCAGTTAACACTTACCAGCACACCCAAATGGTCTCCTATATGATGCATTTGAAACCTTTTTGGAGGAACCCTCAGTTAGCATCCTCCCTAAATGAAAAACAACATACACATGAATATTATTTGCTAAATAAATGGAGGTTGTCAAAACAACTTTACACTCAACATGGTCCCTTGTGTAAGTACACCCTCCATACCCTGTCCCAGAAATCTATAGATTAACATGATTTCTATATTTTGGAAATCTACTTAATTCAATTTGGGCTCTTGAATCAAAGCTATTACTGATAACATTACAGAGTCATATGCAGTGAAAACTACAAGGAAGAAAGGGGGTAAAGAAAGATGAGGTAATGACAATGAACCTACTCAACAAGGCATAAATTCCACACATGACAATATCAATAAATCTTTGAGTGCAGCAGATCCCTCAGATGTCACATACCTACTCTCACAATGTGAGCTACCAGATAGGCTTCAGCAGAGATGTCCTTACTCCCTAGGTCCTGAAAAATAATCCCATAACTTTTAACAAAAACCTTTAAGTTCTACATTATAAAGAGCCACAGAACATGTGGACATTTGTGGCATGACTATTCATTAGTGTCCAACTAAACAGAATTGATGATCTGCAGTCTTTTCTGCAGATTCATGTAATTTAAAGACAAAATGACAGAATTTTAACAAGGACTTTCAACAGACTGTGTATACTTACCGTAAAAACACAGGTGGAGTTTTCAATCCTCTGGGGTTGGTTCACCTTTAGTGTACTATCACTTTTGCTGATAGCAACTAGAAATCTCTCGCTGGACAAGAAAAAAAAATGACAAAAATTACTTTCTGATTCATGACAAGGATACATGTAAGAATTGTATGCCAACAGGTGCTTGCGTGCCCATCATGACCACTGACATCACCACAAGGGTAAAGTCTGGTGCTTGCAGCAGTAGGTCCAGCTATCTTTGTAAGATGGGCATCTCAATTTGTTTTTGGTCCTTTGGGCCTTAAATAAAGCTGGGGACCCAAAACATTTTCAGCCCTTATGTATTTCGGCTAGTGAGAGGAGCAGGCCCCCTAGATCCTTGCTAGATTCACCATTGGTTTGTGTCTTTCGAGGTGGCTGCTTTAAAGAACTACTTACAGTGGAATCCCAATTTCTCAAACTCTCATTTAATTTGAACCTCCCAATAACTCGAACCAAAAGTTGTTTCCCCTCCTCAGTTGAACACTGTAATTTTACCCCCAATTTCTCGAACTACCCGATTTTTCAAACCAATTTTCGGTTCCCTTGGAGGTCTGAAAAATTGGGATTCCACTGTATACATCAACATTACAAACCAGTTTACAGGACATCTCAGTAATGATGTTAGTTGTATTTAATGGAGGGGAAGTAACAAGAAAGGAAAACCATTACTAGCAGCTACATAAACAGTATTTAATGAGAATTTGTTTTAACTTCTACAGTAATGAGCCAAAAATTAATATTAATTATTCAGCCCAGTCAAAATCTTTTTGAGTGGTAGGCAAGATGGCTGGAGTACATGTAGTAGGCAGATAAGGATGAAGGCCCTTGCTCCCTGGGGGGGTGGGGGGTGGGGGGTGGTGTTTGGGGGTGAGCAGAGGCATGTCTGCCCGGAAAAAAAAATGAAATTATTGTCTTCAAATGGTTGTATCTCGTGCAGTCTGGGGGATAAACTCAGCGGAGCCCCTACATAGCTTTTACATAACACTGAAGAGTGTTTTTTTTTCAAATCACAGTTTACATTGATTGTAAGTATGTGTTCACCAAATTAAAAGATGGACTACCAAGGCATACTGAGTATCTATTTCATTGTCTCGCTTACAGCCTTTGGCTATAGACAAAACAGATAATAACCTATTAGCTATATGTTTAAATATCAACATACGAAATGAGAATCCTCACTATTCATACTTGTTACTTTCTGTAATTTCCCTTGAGAGAAATTGTTCTAAGTAACTACATAAGAACACTGTTATTTTCCTGCCATTTTAAGTTTTGTTTTTAACATTTAGATCAAAAGTATCAGAATTAAAGAGGAATTGACCGCTGGAGTTAAGAATAAAATTCACAGTCACTTGCATAGTCACTGTCTGACTCTGAGTCAGNTTAGGAAGAACTGGGTATTTTTTCCACAGTCACAAAAAAGAAACAAACCATTCAAAACTTACTGATACTTGCAGATTAGCTTCAGCACTTGAGACATGCTTAAAAAGGATAAACATTTGTATCATTAGATATGATGACAGCATCACATCATCTGGAGTTGATTTCTAAAACAAGGCTAATAATTTACGGTGTCATTATGAATGTTGAATTTCATGTACACAAACCATTCTTTTCATAAATTAAAAGTTCAATCACTAAAGTTAATTCTAGATGTATCAAACAACTCATTGACAGTCTTTTTATGAAATTACGAAACACATTTTTATTTAGAAATGAACACTTGAGTCAGGGGAAAAAAGTTAATTCTTGACTAACTGTGTAATGAACTCAAGGATGATCTGTGATCTATAAGAAAAGTTGAAATTCCGACTAGCATTGGCCTTCCTGCCCTAAACAGGACTCTATAAAATGGACGTAACCTTATGTGATGATGACAAACTGCCAACTGTTATGAGAGGCAGCAGAGTGGAAGTCATTAGATTTGCACAGAACTAATGGTACTGTAAGTTCTAAAGCACTATAATCTATCCCTGAACACCTAAAGTGTAAAATTTATAATCATTATGAATCAATAAAATGTAACTAACCACTTTGTAGAGTTCAACAACACTTGTAGAGTCAGCATCAACTACTTCACCATCCACCCGTGGAATAAGATCCAGTCCCATTTTGCTGATAAACAATGATATTTGAAATGAATACCTAGTTAGTATCAACAATAATTGAATATGTTTAGAAGCCTTGTGTTGTACATATGGGCATTGACGCTAGCAACTCTTACACTACACTGTTTCAGGCTGGAATAGAAAAAGGAACTGTTTTGTTTTTAACTTGACTCAAAGCTGGAAAATGGATGAAGTTCCTCTACTGTACCAAGCTTTTTGGGTTGGTGTTACAAATATGACAGGATAAAATAAAATGCACAAAGCAAAAATAACAAATTATTGTTATTTAATTCAGCTATAGTTTATCTGGCATGTGACCTCATACAGATCTCCCTGGATTCATGGAATCATGGCACTAATCTAGTGGCATCATGCCGTGAAAGCAAGTACCAGCCATGTAACAGATTTACTTTGTACACTAAACCAAATAGCTTTACCTTAGGGTCCATGCATGGTATAGACCCATAAATGTGTCACTATTAAAACTACTTTTGTATGCTCACTAAGCTCATTTGAGAGCAAAAATCCTTTTGAATTATCAGCTCAATAATGCTGTTGGTCTGGCTTATTTTAATACTTAACAAAACAATATCTAATTAGCAGCCATTTAAGAAAGGGGTCTATTACTTGCATGTACACTTACTCATTAACTTCTGCTGTGTGCATTTTCTAACATTTGTATAATATGAGACCTTGCAAATGAGCATCTCTTAGATAATCATTTATTACTTTAATTTCACAATGTTCTAATTCACAAACCTGTTACCCCAATCAATTTTTGTGATGGCTTTCTTCTTGATGTCATCCATTTGATCCTATACCACAAAATGGAGAAACAAAAACTTTTAAACTTTACAAGTTGTTATTACTAATTGAATCAAACACATAATCATTACCAACTATTTATTATTTTTATTTTTTATTTTTTTAAAACTATTTTATTTCTGATGCAAATACCGATCAACAAATTCATAAAAACTATTTAAATTTACAAGTTGTTATTACAAATTGAGTCAAACACATAATTATTACCAACTATATATTATTTTTGATTTTTTTAGAACTATTCTATTTCTGATTCAAATACTGATCAGCAAATTTACCAAGAATTACTTACTTGTGTCAGCGTGCCCGATAACAGCTTTTGTCTACATTCCACCAAATCCCACATAATTGTCTTCAGTGCTTCAAAAAGACGAACTTGTTGTGTCTGTAAGAAGAAAAAAGCTTGTGTTTACAATAAATTAATATACATTAAATTCCATTTTTGCCGTTCTCTGTTCGGTCACTCGACCTTTCTTGTCGCTTCACTCGTGTTCATGAAGGGCACTTCATGTTGGGCTGTAGTAATGTCGGACATTACTACAGCCCAGTATCTACTAGGGAAGGTTATTACCTGTATACATTTGATATCAAGAGTGCTTATCATCACGTTGAAATTTTCCAAAGCCATCGAACTTCTATTAGGGTAAAGCGACTTATTTCGTTTTTAACGTGTTACCGTTTGGTTTGTCCACCGCGCCTTACATATTCACCAAAGACCTCTTAAAACCTGTGATAAGTCATTGGAGGGGTTCAGGTAAAAGAATTTGCATGTTTTTAGTCGATGGTTTAAGCGGCAACTCTTCCAAAGAGTCCACTACTGTTGACGCCAAGGCAGTCAAGGAAGATCTCGGTCAACTGGGCTTTGTTCTCAGTGAAAACAGGTGTTTTTGGGAACCATCCCTCACCCAGACCTGGTTGGGTCACGTTTTCAATATGTCAGAAAACTGTTTGTACGTAACTGAAACCAGGTTGTGAAAACTAAAGGAATTTCTTTCATCAGCTCTGGAAAGAACTGACAATGTTTCAGCCAAACTCCTAGCCCAGGTTACCGGTCGCATTATATCCATGTCAAAAGCCTTTGGTTCGGTCGTTTACTTGTACTCCAGACACATGTATTTCGCGATAGAAACTAGGCAATCGTGGGACGCCATTATTCCTTGCTTTTCAAAGGTCAGAGAAGAACTACAATTCTGGGATAAAAATGTGGGTCAGTTAAATGGCAAGAAACTGTTCGACTAGCCTCATGTTTTTGATTCCGTGGTTTATTCAGATGCATCTGAGCAGGGCTTTGGTGGTTAAGTAGTTTCCGCAAAACACAATCTGGTCTGTCAGGGACAACGGGCAGCTAACGAAAAGGAAAGAGCTCTACTTGGCGAGAGCTTAAAGCCGTACGCAATATGCTATTATCCGTTGGACATAGCCTGAGGGGGCATAAAGTACAATGGCATACTGACAATCAAAACATTGTTCGTGTTATCGACAGAGGGAGCACGAAACCTGATCTTCAATAATTGGTTGAAGACATTGTCTATTTGTGTGCTGAAAATCACGTTGTGGTTGTCCCCGTTTGGGTACCCCGGGAGCAGAACCAGTTGCCTGATTACCTCAACAAACTTACAGACATTGATGATTGGAGTACAAATCCAGATATTTTTCTGTGGTTCAGCACTCTACGGGACCCTTTTACGGTCGACAGATTCGCAATTTGGTATAACAACAAATGTCTTAGATTTACTTCCCGCTTCTGGAATCCCGGCTGTGAGGGCGTGGACGCTTTCACCCAAAACTGGCAGAAGGAAAACAACTGGCTGGTACCCCCGTCAAGCCAGATAATTAGGGTATGGCGACACCTTAAGCTTTGCAAAGCAAAAGGGACTTTAATAATGCCCCTGTGGAAAGACGCTTTGTTTAGGCCCTGTGTATGTCCAGATGGAGTTCATTTAGCTAAATGTGTTTTGGACTAGGTTGGAGTCCCAAAATTCAGCTCGGCCGCCACGACAAGGGGCAGGACTTACAATTGCATATTCCATGGTGAACGTCTCGAGTTCAAACTTATAGCTTTGTACATAAACTGGCAGTCTATTCGCCAGGGAAGCAGTGACAGAGGTTTCCGCTTGTCAGCAAAAGGTTTGTGTGAACATTGCATTCGAGGTTAAACAAACCCTTACCTTACGGCATTAGTAAATCGCAGCCCACAGGTGGCAAGAAAACGAGGAACCCGCAGGTGGTTTATTAAGGAACCCACAGGTGGTTTTGAACATCAGGCACTTAAATATTGCTCACTACACTCACAGGTGGTGTTATAATATTCATAGTGGGGAAATGTTTGTAGTCTAATATTAGCATTGGAGATGTCTTTAATCTCATACTTGTCTTTATCACGCACAGTCTCTCTGTCTCTCACAGGTTTAAACCTCTTGGATCAAGGCCCGTGGAAGGAGCTTCAAGACCGAACAAGATCCGGCCACGGAAACAATGATCTCACCCGCTTGTTTGAAGCGTTAGAGCAAACGGCCTTTTCTTCAAAAGCTTGTGAACAGTTTTTAACTACACTAGTTCTTTAAACCGTTGGATTAAGTTCGCTCGCGACAATAATTTAGTCGTTTTTTCAGTTACTGTTGTTGATGTCGCTTTGTATTTTAGCTATTTGTCCACTTCTTAAGTTTCTGCCTCCGTGATAGAAAATAATTTTTGCGCTTTAAAATGGATTCACGACATTGTTGGGGTCCACAATCCTATGGTTAGCCCTTTCGTTAGAAATGTAGGAGAGAGGGCTAAACGTCAAAATGCCAAACCTGTGACAAAGAAATCACCTATTTCTCCTGAAGCACTTACAGCATGTTGTGCTGAATACGAGCATTCTAGGAA